CGAGCTTTGAGATGGCTAGCGCTACGCGCTGTTGCTCGGTCTGGAGCATGGCGGATGCCATGGCCATCTCGACCTCTCGTACACAGAGCAGGAGATTCGCTCCGTACTTCTCCTCAAAGACCTTAACGCTCACCATGAGCGGCATAGGACGGGGAAAATCATCTGTCCCCGACGGCGGCGTCATAGACGCAAATGATGCAGACATCTTTAGCAGCGCGGTTTCGTAACTTGAAAACGCCTCTAGACGCACACCGATTGCCTCGGGGCCTTGCGCTACAAGGTGTTGCACGCCCTCAGAGCCAGGCAAGGACATCGACTTGTTAAGCCCGTCCTGCATGACCGGGGGCAAAGAGTAAAATTGTTCCATCCTCACAGTGGATCAGTCTAAACGATTTAGGTGTGGATTAACTACAAGTGCTACCAAGTGCAGCGGGGCTGCCGTCGCTTTGCGCTTGAGAAAGCGTAATCTAGGTCACCGACCTTCCGTTCTTTACTAGAACCAATACGAGTGTAGCGGATCGCAATCCGCTACCTCCAAGAGTGGTAAATACCTTAACTAAGGCTAATAGACTCCTCAGTATAAATTCAAAACTGATTTTTATTTATTTTTTTCTGCGGCAAAGCCGCCTAATTTAAATGTTTAGATTTTCCTAATATACTAAATATATATAGTAGAAATCTAAATACATGCATATCTACTGGTTACCTAGCCGCATTCTTGTTTGGGTGCAGTCACACCATGCCCATCTCGGGTGACACACACCCGTTACCAGTGTACGTGTAACCCCGTTACAGATATGGGGTTACACGTACCCTTATATGAAAGGGTGGGTCATACAAAATGGCGTGGCCATACAAAAGTGTGGATGACATCAGACGGTGTATTCACAGAATGGTGTGGCTATACCAAACAAGTAGCCACTACGTGGCGGGACTGCCAGTAGTTATCCTTATTAATGAGGTTTACTATTTAGTTAGGAAAACCTCAAAAATTAGACATAGGCGGCTTTGCCCGAAATAAGTAAATACATTTTCACCTTTGAACTGAAGAGTGTACTTTCCTTGTGTTGGGGTTTTGGGTACTCTTGGAAGTAGCGGTTTCCGATCCGCTAGACTCATACCGGTTCTAGTATAGAACGTAAGGTCGGTGACCTTGGTATGCTTCCTAGCTACGGCAGCCCCGCTGCAGTGCACCCCACATGGAGAGTACAAGTTCTAGTAACTGGTGTCTGCTCTAAGGGCAGAAGTACTTTTAAAGTATTGTGACCTGTGAGGAAAGAGCTCGCGGGGTATTTTGCGCTTATTTTTCCTTTGGTGTGAGCGAAAGACCTGCACATCTGGATATGTAGCAAGGTCGTTTCAGAGTCTCGAGCATTTCAAGTTGAATTATAATCGCAGTCACGACGAGGTGAAACTGGCGAGGATTCGCGCGAGTTTTGCGCTTGCAGATGAGCAAGCTGGCTTTTTCGGGTCCACTCATAGCTCGTTGTTAACGAGTTGGGCATCGTCGTGAGCTTATCGCAATACGTTCCGTTGTGGAATAAGAGACGGAAACTGTTACTCATGCATAATGGAAGATGTGCGCGGTAAGCGCCTATTGAACGGCTAGGCCGACGTCTCCGGGTGAGGGGAGCTCGTCGCCATCTTTCGTTTTATCGTTTCGCAATCTTTAAGCCGCCAGTATAGCTGCAAGCAATGTCTGTGACCGTTCTTATCAAAATACACCAACTTCTTGATAACCTCACCGAAAACTGCCTTACAAGCTTCGGTCGCAAGCACTGTGCCTTTTCTGAAGGTTTGGCCAGCTATTGAATAAAGTGTACAAGAGGGGGCCGGCTCTGGTATGCTCTGAGAGCAGACCCAGTGAAGTACAAAGGATCAAATGAGACTCCAAACGCAGTGGATGTTCGCTGGGCGCTCACTTTCAAACTATGACACAAAAAGCATACAGCCCTATTGTGGGAATAGTGTAACGAGCTCACTAAATGTGCCATTGTCCACATATTTTGACACTTTTGTACAGTTATACAAAATTTGTATCTTCACTTTTGTGAAATCGTCCATATTTATAAGTGCCAGAAGATAAACCTTTATGATAATGATGGGATTTTATCAAGGAGAAGACGGTTGTACACGTGAGCGGCTAGGAGCACGTCTAAAATAAATGTCAAAGGTATTTCAGTCTTGAGATACCACAGCAAACAAGATAGCTATTTACAATCCTGGTAAGAGAAATGTACTCAATATCTATGCTGTGGAGTCTTAGAGTTTAAGTAAGGCGCACGTATACTTTTTACTCGGTTAACAGACCTTTTTTAATGGGCTGAAGACATTCCGAGCCCGATCTGTTATATTCCTTTGGCAGTTAAGCTTCTCCATCGCCACCGCGGAGAGCGACTTTTCATTTTTAAAATGAAAGATTCTGACGTTGTTTGTCCTTGATGCCATTTTGCACTATTGTCAATTTTATTTTTTATTTTTTACTAAAAATTACTTGAGATTAACGGATGCATTAGAAAAGCATTGCCTATTTAAGTATGTCTTTGTGGGGTCGCTCTGTGAAGATTGCAGGCCATATTGCTGATAATCCTATCATAATTGCCAAAGATTCTAATGATGCCACTTACATATATTTGACCACCGGTTGCCTCTGTGTATCCTTCACTCGTCTATAAAATACCCTCAGCATTATCTAAAGCAAGTACAGATGCATTTGTAGCGCACCTTTATCAATCGGTTTCTGTGAGTAACTGCCGCTGTTTGACGTCCCAACATCATTTTTTGACGCTATTTGAACTTTTTAGCCAGCTTCCCCTTCCTTTGACTGGACTCCCGAACTTGTTTTTCAGTAACTATTCGCGCACTGATGTGTTGAGTCAGATACGACCACAAGCCCTGCAGATTGTCTGTCGCCAAAGTGCTGCTTAATTAGCAATTTAAACGAAATAAATATCACACGAATGATTTACTATTTGGATACGCGTGTTGCTACAGCTGGTATATAAGAATGTTCCTGAGTAAATTCATAGCAGAAAATTACGAAAAGTGCCGTATCTTGCTACACATGCACAGTCTTTGAAAAATGGTGTTCAGGAGAACTGAACAGGTTTGATAAAATTGTCGACGGAAGTGAAACCACCGCAGCGTATGACAAATCACTGATTGCACTCGACGTCTTACGGGTCCTCTGCAGTTAACCATTGTGCATATTGCTGTCGGTGCATTTGTCAATCGCAATAAATCGTGTTGATGGCAACGATGAACTTCCCTCTCAAGACAAACTTTTTTCCGCAGATACGACTCACGGCTCAAGAGCGAAGCTGGTATGTATTGATGGGAGA